TATATATATATATATATATATATAGAGAGAGAGAGAGAGAAAGAGGTCAAGTTAAGTGTTACAAAAAAGATCTGTACATAAAAATAATTTTATAAATCTCATTATCACGTTAACTCCTGTTTTTTAATAATCTTTTAATCAAATTTGCAGTCCAGTACCTCACCTACAATTTGGGCAAAGTGGAACATCTAACCAGGATACTCTGAAGAATCAGCAAGATGCCCAGAATATGCTTGTTGTAAAAGAGTCTGAACCTACAACAAGCATCCAGATAAGATTAGCTGATGGATCAAGGTGATCTACTATAATTTTATAACTGCCTGCCTCTTGTTAGCATTAAATATTAATTTCTTAGTATTAAAAAAACTTGTACTGCTTAAGTTTGACAGATTAAGTTTTTTTTTTGTAGTTTCATGTTGAAAGTTGGAGAAATTTTGTTACAGAATATATATACTGTGAAGAAAAATGTAACATGCAAAATTGAACTGATTTATTTCGTGTATTTTCAAATAACTTTACAAGCAATTTTGTTTTGAAAAGTAGCCTGGGGATTATGATTACTTACTGACTTATCACCAGTGTATTCCCAAACGATCCATAATTTAGTTGTGTTTAAAGATCATTGTCTGAGAGGTATGATCAGCTGACTTACCAAATTTTCACGTGTTCTTAAATAATACATGGAACAGTTATGTTTTGTAGACTCTATCTTTAGAAACTACTGCGATCAATATACTTGTATTCTTAAGTAATATATACACACACACACACACTTATCTTGCACTGTTAATATACATTTATTTCTTCTTTTTACAGTTTTGAAAGCTATATTAAAAATGTTTTTTTCATACTAAAACTGTTTTTTTATACTGTACTTCTTAAGATGTGGCAAACGATTTTATTTCAGGAAAGATTCTACCGATCATAGTTTGATTAACTGAAAGTGCTTGATCTTTTCAATTGTTTTATTTTAACAGAATGGTAGCCAAACTGAACCATAGTCACACTGTAGGAGACCTCAGGAAGTATATTGTAACATATCCTTTTTATAACTGTGACCAGTCCAAAATTTTACTTTATCACACATTTTGTTAAAATGGCTTTTCAGGTTTTTCTATATTCTGAATAGTTTGTTTTAAAAATCAATAAAAGTTTTTTACTATTTGTAAATAATGGTACAAAAATATTTAAAGGTGCTTTAAAAACTACCTGTTAGTTTAATTTCTTTAGAATAAAATATACCAGTTCAATTTCCAGCATAATTAATTCAGAAAAATGTTGCAAACATAGTCTTAAGTTTTATTTCATGGAATTTTTCTTAACGTCGGCTCAATGCTCGACCGGAATATGCTGCCTCAGTATTTGCTCTAATGACAACATTTCCAAACAAAGAATTGACCGAAGACAACTTGACATTGGAAGAAGCTAGTCTGTTGAATTCTGTTGTTGTTCAGAAATTAAAGTAATTTATCTTTATGTCTGTCCAATACAATAATGGATAATATCTGTATTAAAAGCAATTAAAGTATTTGTATTTACTGGGCACTTGGCTTTATCCATTCTTGTTTCGATTAAGAAAATGTGATACTGTTTCTCACAAGTGCAAAAATAATTTTCCTACAAAGACATTTCTCATTTTAGTTCTTAGATCAACTATGATCAAGATCCTCTTCTGTATGGTTTAAAGAAGCATAATCTATGTTCTTAAACTTCATACAAACTTTAATAGGTACTCATGTTGATCTGATTGTTTAAAATAATCTGAAATTGTTATTCAATGTAACTGTCTGAATACTTTAGAGCTGTGTCCAATGTGCCCAGTGTAGTATGTAAAAATAATTATTAAACCACTCCATAAGAATATGTCTTTATTGATAGGATTTTTCAAAATTTCTGTACAAGATTTTATATGTAGTTAAGTTTCCTGGTAAACACTTGAACTACACTATTATTCTCAATAGAGTTGTCTCATTGTTTTCATAAAACACCTTATAACTTGGCTTGGCTGCAGGATACCGTGTAGATTGGGTGTCTGAGATCTGGCATATGTGGGGATGAAGAAGCTGGAAGACCACAAACTTGAGGAGAATCTTCCCAAAAAAATTAACTTTTTTGAAAGCCTGCTTTTCATACATTACAGAATATTTGAAAATGAGTTGAAACAAAAAAGAATTGCAAAGAGTATCTGGATTAATCATTGTTTTCAAATAAAGTTTAGATGCCTGCTCTTCAGACAGTGCAGCTCAAAATAGAGAATTTTCTGCAGCTTTCACCAGTACTTAAGATTCGTGTTTTCTAAGCATTAAGAAATTCTTAGGACATTCCAAGACATCTAAAAACAGAAATATGAAAATTAAAAACTGTTTACTATATATGTATGTGAGCTTTTTTGATGCTCAAAAAGTTACAAATGTCTATAAGTGATTTTTTATAGAATTTAATCGATAAAGATAATATATGTTAAATTATCTTGTAGAAGTTTCATACCATTATTTGCATACCTAATGAAAAGTATCACCACAAGTGAGTGAGGAATGAGGAAATATATCTAGAGAGTAAGCAGGTCAGATAATTGCCCAAACTAAAGTCAGGGAGAAGAAAATTAAGCACTGTTTAATATTAAAAGACAACGAGTTTTCACCATATCGGAGCAAGAAAAAATACTTTTAAAACTGTAATATTTATAGGATAAAAATACTGAAATCCATGATCACAAAGTTTCACATATGTCATACTTAGAAATATCGTACAGGCATGGCAAAGACATGGTGCTTAAAAAAAATGTGGAAGTACATGTAAAGGTGGGAGATGTCTGATGACAAAATACTAAAATGCCTTTGGGTAGATTTCTGTGTGGTATTACGTTTTAAAACCAAATGAATATTAGACGCCAATTAGTAACGTTAAAACATCACTCGTTAATGATCACCTGCTCTTACGTTTAATAGTCGTTCATTTTCACTTGCATGCTTAAATTAACTTGGTAATGGAACCGGGGTGTTTCTGATGGATATATTTCATCTTTAGGATATTCTTGACCCATTTTGAATGTTATTTTTAACTGATATTATCTTACATTTTATTTGACGTTGTTATGTTTCGTTAAAACAAGATATTACTTTTCATATCGTTAGGATATATGGTATTCTGTCTAAAGAATAATCAAAAACACCTTAGATGTGGAAAAAAAAAGGTGCAGCCAAAAAAGGATTGAGCGTGCAACATAAAGGATGAAATCAAAATTGATGGCCAAACTGGTAGCTATAATTATAGCATTGATAAGAATTTTACAGCAAATATTCATTCATTAGTTAGCTAGGTCACGTATTTTGTTTCACGGCCCAGCATGGCCAGGTGGTTAAGGTGCTTGACTCACAATCTGAGGGTTTAGGTTCGAATCCCTGTCCCACTAAACATGCTCGTCCTTTCAGCCGTGGGGGCGCTATAATGTAACGGTCAATCCCACTATTCATTGGTAAAAAGAGTTGGAAGTGGGTGGTGATGACTAGCTACTTTCCCTCTAGTCTTTCACTGTTAGGGATGGCCAGTGCAGATCGCCCTCATGTAGCTTTGTGCAAAATTCAAAACAAACAAGCCAAACCTTTTTTTTTTCACACCTAAAGTGTTGTAATAGATATAATGAGAATTTATCAATACACACTCACAAACTACAGCAAATAATAAAGTGACACTTGTTAGTAACCGGCATTAGCTTTAGAATCGCAATCTTATTAATCGGAACAGACCTATACTTTACAAAACCAACCAGGCTCTTTAAAGTATTTGGTGGTAGTTTTCCTCTATAAAACAGTGTTAATAACTTCCTTTATAGTAACACCATGGAATCTAGATTAACAGTTTCTTGTCATCACCAGCATGAACTTGGTACAGGCGTATCAAGCATCATTATTTACACTAATTGCTTAGTGTTCCCCAACTCTGTATCAGGTCCTGCAGAAGATGACAGTTTTGCTGCTTACTGATGTCCTGGTGACGCTACTTGCTGTATAGCCTTTTGTTCTCGACATTGTTTGTAATAGCGTCAAACCTGGATACTCCAAGTAAATCTGATAGAAAAGATGGACAAAAGAACATTGTAGATTTTGTGAACACTAGTTATTCGACCAGTCTCAACAGAGTGTGATGAGGAGAGAGCAAATGCACACACATGCAGGTTAAATGCATAACAAGCACAGAACTTGTCTTCTGCGTGTTACATAGCCCAAGCTGATGGAAATAGCAGGTGTCTGCCACAGACCAGGGACTCGTGCAGAGACGTGGGTTCTCTGTTATTGTTACCATGGCTTCAGCATTGTTTAAGAGGATGGAAGTACTTGCTGAGCTTCTATTAAAGTTCGACTTACTACTATGTCTTTTCTATTTTGGTCGCATATTTATAGGTGTAAAAGCAATAAATTCTCCTTAATTGCTGATCACTGGTATGCCCTAAAGGTCAAGAGGGTAATTGGCAGCTTTTGTAGTCATTGATAAACCAGGTAACTGTATATGTAATATTATATGCTACGTTGTAGTCTACATAGAATCCATTCAATGAGGATTCTGTTGCAACAATGCAATTGTAGACTCTGCAAAGGTTCGAAAATTGTCTTCTTTTGTATTTTTTAGCTTCTTGTGCTGTTCTCACAGCACTTAAGATCCAGTTAATTTATATGCGTGGAAAACAAAACACAGCTACTATATGTCAGTAAACAGTAATAATAAGTAATAGAACTTATTTTAACATGGTATAGAAGTCTGCCAAAATTGGTATAGCAAAACTCACTTTGTTTTACATAGAATCTATGGAACATATGAATTTAATTACGTATTAATCTGTCGAGCTGAAGGATTTGGTGGAAGTAGATGTTCCACCAACCACCGCGCTGATGGACTTGGACCATCCCATTCTTCTACATATCTTTCTGATCATTTCACACTTAGAGGATCAGAGTGAAAATGGAATGATGAAGGAGACATGAGGCAGCTTAACTCCTCACTTCTCTGAACAAATTCAAATTGCATCAAAGGAGCCCATGCTTTTGACCTTATCCTTCAGTACTTCAAGTGCTTTGCTTTTACCCACACTGCAATGTCTGACATCACCGAATCTGGCAATTTTAGACAAAAAGCAGCAGCACCTGAGCCTAAAACCTGGAAGTCTGCTGTTTTGACTATTGGGTGGATTAAAGGAATGAAGATGCCACCTTAACAAGATCATCTACACAGCGTGGTCACAAGTAAATAGACACCACCTTTTTAAGAAAAAATGAAAATTTTCAGTCATATTCATATGAATTGATATATTTATAATTTAATTAATATCTAGTAGATCTTCCTTTCGCTTCGTGGAGTTCGTTGATCCTTTGGGGCATCGTGAGGATTTTCGCCCACCCTTGCTTCAAAACTTGGAGTAGATCGCTCTTCGAAGTTGGTTTTCTTGGTTGTTTCTTGACTTGCCAGTCGAGTATGGCCCAGAGGTTTTCGATGGGGTTCATGTCAGGAGATTGGCTCAGCCAGGGCAACTTCTGGATACTATTTTCTTCCTGCCACTTTTGGGTGTTTCTAGCAGTGTAACACGGTTCTCCATCTTCCTGGAACAACGTTATGTTCTTGTCCACGAAGCCCGAGGAATAAAGTGGCAAGAGTCCTTCCTCCAATATTTCGACGTATTTTGCAAAATTTATGTTGCCAACGCACTCCACTAAGCTTGATCATTCACCAACTCAAACAGCTTCCCAAACCATCATGCTTCACAGTTGGCTGCAATCTGTTGAGCCAAAACTCATGGTGAGGCATTCTCCAGACCCATATCCTTCCAC